GGGTAGGAATACCACACCTGTCGGGTAGGGTAGGCCAAGAAAAATCTCTTCCGCAAAATATCAGGTAGGAAGACGGAATATCATATTTCCTACCCATTAGGTAGGGTGAGCACCCCTAATCAAGAGAACCCCTTTTTGTATTTTTCTTTTAAAGCCTTTTGAATGCCAAGTGTCCCTCTTGAGTCACCTATCCCCACTTTATTACACCAACCTCCCCTCTTATTCCTCCTATTCTCACAATTAACACGTAATTTTATGAAATATTTAAAATCATATTCAAAAATTCCACCATTTTATAATTCGATCTTAAAAACCTATAATTGAAATCATACTTAAATTTTCAGGGTTTTAATTATTGAAATTTTAACCCCACACTAATATTAACAAATTTTACTTTAACCCATAATATTTTATAATATAAAATGCTATGATAGGCTTGCTCGGCCTCACACAATGACTGTCTACTTTCCAAAATGGTGGGTTTCTAATGCACTCCACCTTCTCGGATTTCCCAAAGAAGACGGAAAGTTGCATCAATAATGTCGGTCCAACTTTCTTGGTTGTTGGATTGGCCTATTTACAAGTGGAGATTGTGGAAATTCTTCTCCTGTCTTTTTATTCCTTATAATTTAACATTGTGACAATTACATATAAGTTAACAATGATATTAACTACAAGAAGATGAGATAGACAATAATTATTTTGTTAAGGTTATATAGGTCAAACAAATTTTTTTTATTTTTGTTGACCTATAGAGCATTTTCAACCAGTGTTTTAAAACCCGCTCAACCCGACGGGTCAATTCGGTGACCCAGTGAACCGGTCTTCCAACCGGGCTGATTTGAATTAAAAATCGTTTATGTACAGAACTCGGGATTAACCCCATAACCCGGTCAAAAAACTGGTGAATCGTGAGAATCAGCCGAGTTTACAAAATCGGATGGTTAGATTAAATTTCTATAAATATCAGATTTTTACATTCCTCTTTTATTTTTTCCCCTTTTGCTGCCCTAACTCGTTCCAGCCTTCCATCCTTGCCTCCACCACGCCACCAAGGCACCAACGATCAAACCAGCCAGTCCAGTGCAGTCCACCAACAGGCAGTCGACTCCAATCCACCACCAGCGACTCCAGTGAGCTTCCCCCCCTCTCTCTCCCCCCCGCTTTTTCTCTGTCTCAGACTTTATTCATTCATTTTGTCTGTCTGATACTTTAAAATCTCCGATGAAACACTTGTTGGGTCTTCTCAGAATTCATGTCCACAGAGGTGTAAACCTTGGTGTCAAAGATCTCAAGAGCAGTGATCCTTACGTTATTGTTAGATTTGGCAAACAAGTAATGTCTTGCCCTTCTACATAATTTCAGCTCTTTGGTTCATTTCTTTATTGAATTCTTAGATTGATTCAATAGTTCTGAGCTTGGCTAGAGAAAATTTGATGTAATCTGACTGGGACTTATTTCTTTGAATATTTTGTGATTTAACTGTTAAAAAACTTCAATCTTCTCTGATATAAAAGGTCGATCAAGCCAAGAAATTTAAACCATCCAATTCTTTTTCTTGATCAATTTTTGCTTTCTTGCTTTTCTGGCTGAACTTTACTTCAGCAGATGTATATATGCATGTTTGACTTTCCGTTTGTGTTAAGTCATGTTGTTTTCTTTTGGTTTGGGGAAAAGACTCTCAGTCCAATTCCTCCATTCGTATTGAAAATTGAATACATGGAAGATTTTTCTTTAGCTTATTTATTATTATTTTTTAATTTTTTATTTTATTACCGATTCGACTTGTGACCTAATAATTGAACTAGTGACTCGTTAACCCGGTCCCTTCACCGAGTTGTTGATTTCCGTACCGAATTTTAAAACATTGTTTACAACACTGCTCGCCACTCCAGCCTGTCAGCTAGTTTGGCAAGCAAAATTCCAAAGTTGGTGCTCCAATCCACTCACTACTCTCCTCGCCAAAATAGGTGGAGGCTTCATCCTCGCCAGTTGCTCATTCCTTCCATTTCTGCACAAGCCCCATCTCGAAATCGCAGGAGACTTCAAATTGGATTGAGCTTCTTCTTCTTGTTCTCTATCTGTAAGATTTTCTAAATTCGATTGTTAAAATTTTGTATTGCTTTACAGTTCAGCTTGTTGAATTTAGGGTTTCGAAAGTCATAGATCTCCTCTCTTCACTTTGAGAAATTCAAGGTTTTTGCTTTATGACTTTCTCAGCTGAAATTATGATTCTTCTCTACCCTATGTTTAATGGATTTTTGTTTTGGAAGCTGCTATGTTTAATGAGGATTTTGGTTGAAATTAGGATCATTAGATTTGCTTCTTTTGAACTGTGGAAGAGAAACGGTTGGAAAAGAAAATAAAATTGTATGATTTGCTCCTCTAGATTTATGCTCTGTAGCTTGAACTGTATTTTTTTTACTTTGTTATGTTGTTTTAGCTTGCATGTAGAACACAATTATAAGATCATTTTTACTGAAATTCTGGAGGTTGACAGTTATTGGATATGAATTTATGCCTCAAAATGCATTATTATTCCCTAATATACTGTTGTAAAATTTAAAATTTGAAAATTTGATGACATAACACAACACGTTATCATACTTCGTCATCATTAAGGCGCTTACATGTTATGCCACGTGGCATTTTTGAATTATATTATTAAAAATTACTTAAAATTAGTTGAAGTAGTTAGCTAAAATAGAGAGTATGGTTGAAATAAATTTTAAAAAATAGCTAGCTGTAGAGAATTTAATATTTAAATATATTTTAAGTAGCTATTTTGTTGAGTGTGGTTGAAGATGCTCTTAGAAGTAGTATAGATAAGTGAGCAAAAATCTATCCTAGTTGATAGATAATAAGTTAGAACGGTTGATTTTAATAATAAAATACAAAAATATGATATTAAGTGTTTTTCGTATGCTATAAAACATTAGGTAACATAAAAAAAAATCATGTCGAACTTTAGGGTCTTAAATTTTTTTGTAAGAAATTCTAAAAGTTTTATAATAATCCTACTTATATTTAATTTGGGGACCGAATTTTAATTTTACCACCTAATAAATTATAGTTATTCCATTGTTAGTGAACTTTATTCAATATTAACTTCTAATACAAATCCAGTGATCAAAATACATTACATTAAGTTCTCAAATTATGTCTAATAACAGTGTGCACATTTTCTTTGGGCCCCAAAAGTTTCTTCCTATTTGGGTGGCCCTAAACAATGACCTTAATGGCCTAGTGCATGAGCCGGCACCGGATACTAAATATATAAGGGTTAATCTCATTTTGTACCATAAAATATTGTTCGAATCAAAATTTGTACCTCCAAAGATTAAAAATCTCAATTTGCACCCTCAAAGATAGAAATTTGTATCAATGTACACCCCCAAAGATCAAAAATCTCAATTTTTACCCCAAAGATATAAATCTGTATCAATGTGCACCTAAAATTAAATTGATAAATTATACCTAGATCTCCTCGTGTTTGTCACTTAATCATTTGAACTCCTTCACATTTAGAATATTACTCATACATCTCATGACGTTTATACATGTGTAAACATAACCACTTTTTGTTGATATCTATTAATATAATCGTTAAAAAATATGATTTTATCCTAATAAAAAATTATAATTTCATATTACTTTTTGTTTTGTGGATTCGATATACTCTAAAGTTCAAAATCAAGCTTACCATTTGAATGTCTAATAGAATGTAGATATTTATATAAAGGAAAATATGAAAAACATTATATAAATATCTACATTTTATTAGACATTTAAATGGTAAGCTTGATTTTGAATTTTAGAGTATATTGGACCCATAAAATAAGTGTAATATGAAATTATAATTTTTTATTAGGATAAAATTATATTTTTTAACGGTTATATTAACAGATATCAATGAAAATGAGTTACATGTTGTACGTGCATAAATGTTATGAGATGTAGGAGTAATATTCTAAATGTAAAGAGGTCCAAATGATTAAGTGACAAACATGAGGAGATCTAGGTATAATTTATCAATTTAGTTTTAAGTGCATAATGATACAAATTTCTATATTTGAGAGTGCAAATTAAGATTTTTTATCTTTGGGGTGCACATTGATATAAATTTCTATCTTTGAGGGTGCAAATTGAGATTTTGATCTTTGGGGGTGCACATTGATACAAATTTATATCTTTGAAGGTGCAAATTGAGATTTTTGATCTTTGGGGGTGCACATTGATATAAATTTCTATCTTTGAGGGTGCAAATTAAAATTTTTGCTCTTTGAAGGTACAAATTAAAATTCGAACGATATTTCGAGATGTAAAATGAGATTAACCCAATATATAAACCCCCATGATAATCGGTGCTTAACTTTCATCCTATTACTCATAGAATCTAACTTGAGTGTCAAAGAGTCTTAGGCTGACACCATACTATTGTCCTCAATACCGTTATTACTTGTGATTTTTGACAAATTACACAAGAGAATATATAGTCGACATCCGAATTTCAGGATCGACACTTACCAAATACCCTCTTCTCTCCTCTCCACTCCACATAGTCATATAATTCATGGTGACATATGCCCTCGGTGCCAGAACCAGAGCAGGACCATTATTAATGTTTTTGAGGTACTATGTCCAAGCCAAATCCGTGTGGATGGCCATCTCAACCCCAACACCCCCCCCCCCCCCCCCCCAAAAAAAAAAAAAAAAGTAAAATTAAAAAAACAATTCCCATCTTTAATGCTTCCCATCCCGGAATGTTGAAATCCAATTGCCAAAGCTCATGCCATGCTTCTAGCATCATTATAATCTCAATGAAAAAGATTTTCAATTTTTCACTCTGATATGAATCATGTGTATGAGGTATATGCATTATATGATGGAATTGAGGAATTATTTAATGAAATGTGATTTAAATTAAGATATAATTTGTTACAAATGTAACTTTATTTTGAAGTGCAAGTGGAAAATTGCACTAAAAAATTTAGTTTATTCGATTGATGAGTCTTTCCATCCATTTTCAATTTGTTTTGGATAAGCGACCTATAACATTTCTAGTTCATGGTAGGTACGAGAATTACATCAAATTTACATTCACAAATATATAGATGTGAACCGACAAGATCTTTATCCTGGTGAAACCTATCCATTAGTATATATGGTGTGAAGAGACACAAAATGCACATCATGAGCTGCAACCCTCCTAGGAGGAAGAAAATAATAGACATTTGAGGAGGTGGTCTGTCTCTGTCCCATGGTAAGACTAAAGGAAAACAGCAATGCCAATATGAATGACCATGGTTTGCTAAACTAAGCCTACCCAATTTGGCTATAGGATGGATTACACAAATTTGGGCACGACTTAAAAACAGAACACTACCATCACCGTTGTTGAGATTTACTAGGAAGGACGATAATATGACATAATTGTAAAGAAGGTCAGCGCCATTGTAAGAACTAAAAGAATCAACGCAGCCATTGATGCAACGAATGACCATGGTGTGTCAAAATAAGAGTACCGAAAGCTCGCCCACTGAACATGCCAGCCATTCCGGTAGTACTGATTCACCTCGTCGAATGACCGGGCCAGGTAGCACAGATCAATGTCAAAGAACACACCTTTTCCCAAATTGTTGATGAGCTTGGCAATCTCAGCATTAGTGCCAAAATAATTCTCGATTATGTTCCAGTCACATAGGTATTCCACATCCCTGGCTGTGTTTACGAGGCAATCTAATAATATAGCATATGTTGTCATGTGTTTGGAACATGTACTGTGACATTGCTCATACGCCACACAATTCAACAAAAACGGGCTCATGAAATCATCAATGGTGATGGTTGGCATCTGAATCACTCCGTGTCTGAACTTTATAACCAAAAAGCTATCGGCCTTCATGGGTTTGAGCTTGATCCCAGCACGACGAAGCTTTGTTATACATTGAATTACATGGGTTCGTGATTTGCTACCATTTTTAGGCTCTTCATCATCCTGTGGAATAAAACTCCCTCGAACAAAGTCAAGCAGGTGTTTGCCTTCTAGATTAGTATACTTGGCGATTACTTCAACAGGTCTCTGCAACGCATTGTTGAAGAATTGCAATGCTAGAGTGGCCAACGAGGGACCTGAATCTTCCTCTGGCATCATCGTTAGATCGAACAAGCACTGGAGAACAAAAAATGGAAGTTGATTTTCAAGGCGAATCAAATCCCTCAAGAAAAACGCGTACACCCACGACATAGAAATAAGTGGGTCATCTGGTTCGAATGGAACCAACCCACCAATCTTCCGAAACAATTCAAGGATAAAACAACCATCAAGTACCATAATCTCAATAAATTCATCGGTATCAAATTGAATAGTTTCGGAGTAACACTCTCTGGCTCTCATTTCCAGTGGCTGTATGGCCTTCAAGTAGTCCTCCAAGGCCAGGCCTTTACTTGCTGTTCGGTTCAATAAGGAGCCTAAGAACCTCCACTTGTGCTCTTCAATCATTTTTAGGTGTGGCTCTCCGTGGTGGTACGGCCCTATGGAGACTACATGAGGCTGATAGCATCGGCCGTTGATGTCAATTAGGCTCTGGGGAACTCTGAAGATGCAGCAGGAGCTCCGGCCAGCCGATTTGCTCAGAAGTCGCGGCGTATCGGAGATTTTTTGTTGCATCGATGCCAACCGGTCTTTGTTTACTTGCCAAATCCTAATGACATTATCGGCTTCTTTTCCGGCTGGATTGCTACCCATCTTGGTCTCAGCTTGTGAACCTGCAAAATAATTTTCTGTTCAGAATTTCTGCAAACACTTGGAGGACTACGTTTGTTGTTCTTCGGGGGGTGAACGATTCATCACCACCACCCAATGATTTTGTGGGTAAGGCTACGATACCAACAGTACCATTGTACCGAAGTCTTATCCTATATTAATTTTGAATTAGATGATTTTTATTTATATAAAAAAAATTATAAAAAAAGAAAATCATAAACGCAATATATTTTTATTAGTTGAAAAGTCTAAATATTATATTAAAAAATACTTTCCGATACAATAATTTGGTTTCTTTCTGGCTTATATTAATTGCAAGGGGTCCATTTGATGTAAGCCCGAGAATCAATGAAAGACTTTTGCTATGGGTCCAAGAGCCCAAGGGAATTCAATTCTAAGACTGGCATATGCACTTGCGTGGAGAGATAAGATGAATCATCACCTTCCGGAGTAAATATCGGGTATAATCGATATACCATGCCAGTTATTATGACCACCATGAGTAAATATTAGGTGTTAATACGGTGTAACTATTTAATAAGAAAATAAACAAAATGTGGTCCACTTTATATTATGGAATTTGTTATGTATTACATGGTTGAGTGGTTATAAATTTTAATGAGTCTCACTTATAGAGTTAGTTACTTATTAGTGAACAGTTAAACCACATGTCAGTACTGACATGGTGTAATGGTTATACTGAGACTTGGTAATTTTAGACATGACTCATAAAAATCAATACGAATCTAACATGAATTTAGTGGATTTGGGTGTTGCCTTAATAGGCTCGGATGATTAATAGGTTAACTCAATAGACTCATGAAATAAACGAACTGGTTTCGTGTTTAACCTATAAACTTGGATCAATTCGTTTAACCCATTAACAATAGTACTGTAAATTCCAAAAAAATATTTAAGTCTCTCAGCCTCTGCCTCATCTCACGCCTCCCATCTCTCATACTCATTCAAAATTGGTAGTGATTTAATATTTATTGTTTGTCTTTATTTTTTTATTCAGCCATGATTTATTTCTATAATAAACAAGTCAACACATGTGTAATGTGTGCGTAAGTTGATAATTTTTTTGTGAACTCGAAATATTTTAAACGATTCTCTTATTTAACAGATAATATATGAGTTATGTCGGATAACTAATACAATAAACAAGTCATGTACGGATGTGATAGTTAGACCCATTTATATAAATGAATATGATATGAATGAAAATTTTTTTGACACAAATTCGTTCCACCTTATACAAAATCATTCCATCCGACACAATTTTCAGGCGTTAAACCCAATTTTTTTCCCACCAGCAGATGCTAGACTGGTGGAACTGGATTTGGAAACTCAAAAGTGAAAAGTCTTACTGTTTTAATTATCCATATCTTGTGTTAGGATGATGTGGGACACTTCGACTAATTACCCATAGAATTTAATTTAGATTTTCAAAATAGGGCCAGTGCATTCTCTACCACTAAACAGGACATTCTTGCACTGCTCCATTAGTTGCAATCTATGATGCCTGGGCTTAGCTGTCAGTAGATTGAATTTATATTTAATTTTGGATTCAAGTAGTCAGATATATACTAATATTTTTTTATTTAATTTTGTAGTATAATGTATATTACATTATATGATGGAATTGAAGAATTATTTTTATTAAATGTGATTTAAATTAATATATAATTTGTTACAATGTACCTTTATTTGAGTTATTCAATTAGATCGAATTTTTATTTTTCATTTATTCAAATATAGATATAAAAATAAAATCTATAGAACAATCAGATCGAAAGGATAATATATCAAAAATTGGATCAATATCCAATCCATTGATGGTCTACTACAAAGCCTCCAAAATCTAAGCCCGTTGTGGATTGAAAGGCCCCACCAACAGCAAACAACAAAGTGCTACGATCTAAATATGGGCCTTCTCTGATAGACCTGGAGGCCCATTAGCTAGAAGCACTAGTCTAAATGTAGAGTTATGGGCCTACTGTAATCCAGCTGGAGGCCCATAACTTCTATATAATTCCACTTTCCACCCATTCCGTATGAATTTTTATTTTTTTATTTTTTAGGGATAATTACACTCAGACCCCTAAAATTTATCATTTAATTATCTAGACCCATAATATTTAAAATATTACACACATATTTCTTAAGATTTATACACGTGTAACACTTAAACTCCTGTTATTAATGTCCGTTATTATATTTGTTAGTAAATTATACTCATACCCCTTAAAATTTATAAACTTGTAACATGTCATTTAGACCTCTCGGATTTGAGATATTATATTTAGACACATTATTAATAACAGAACTAATGAAATCTATTAAACGATAAAATTACCCCAATTAAATATAGAAAATATTTTGTTTATATTAGTTTGACCCCTTGTTTGATTTTTTAATTTTATTTCAATAGATAGTATAATTGTATGAAAATGAGTGTTGAATTGAGTTATTTGATATATTTATATTGATTATTATTTTTTTCTAAAAAAATTAGAATTTTGTTTGGGTTTTATGCCAATGGATGATATAATGGAACATGAAAATGTGTTAATTAGGCTTATTTTATATGTTTGTCCTTGATGATGAAAAAATTAATCCAAGGTAAAAAGTCCATTTAGTTTAAACCTAACTTCTAAACGTAGTTCATACCTTTGAGTCACTTACTAACTTTAGCATCGAAGAGTCGACCCCTGAAACTCCCTTCCAGTCTCCAATTTCTTTTTAAGGTGATCAAATTCTAACAAATTGATGTAAATATCATCCAAATCTCAACATCAACAATACTAATTAAAAAAAATAAAATTTTATTTTAATAAATGACTTAATAGACACATGAATTTTGGTTGTAAAATTTTAAATATTTGATATTTTATCTTTAGTTTGAGCATTTTTTGTCTAAGTGTAATATTTTAAATTTGATAGGTACAAGTATTACATGTTTCAAAATTTAGGGGTCTAAAAGTAATTTATTAACAAATATACTAGCGGACATTGATAACAGAGGTTTATGTGTTACATGCGTACAAACTTCAGGAAATTTATATTTTCAAATGTCATGGGTCTAGGTAATTAAGTGATTAAATGACTAATCTCAAAAGATCCGGGTGTAATTATCCCTTTTTTTATGCGTGTATTTTGGCACTTCCCACGACAATAGATGCAAGTTTTTCCCAAACTCAGTCACCCTCAAATCTTTATTCTCTAATCCAGTCAATTTTGAACTTATTTTTCAAACCCATTTTTTTTTTAAAAACATCTTTCAAATGATGTGTTTTAAAAAAATATCATTTTAAATGACGATTTTTAATGTGGATTTTTAACTGCAACTAACAAGCGTTAAAAAAAATAAGGGTATAAAAAAACAGTCCTGTAAATGATGATTTACCCAAAAATAATTTCTATGACTTAAATGACAAAAGACTATATGTTTGTAAAAAAGAATTTACCCTCTCACAAATCCCCCTCTCATAGTCGGACATCCTCCTCCTCCACTCTCTCAGGTCTGCCACCCTATCTG